ATGTGTTCTTGCTTCGGGGTGAGTTCCAGCAGCTGCGCCTCGCCGAGAGCGCTCCAGGGGTGCCCGAGTTGTCCCCGTACGTCCGCCAGAGGCCCGAGCTATGACCCAAAGACCACGACGCCGGCGCACCGAAAACGCTCCAGGAGGACGAGGGAGGACGAGGGGGAGGAGGACGAAGGGGAGGAGGATGAGGAGGAGGAAGAGGAGGATGAGGAGGTGAAGTGAAAAGAGAAGTAGGAGGAGGAGGAGGAGGAGGAGAAGGAGGAGGAGGAGGAAGGGGGACGGCGGGAGAGGGGGAAGGGGGAGAGGGGGAGGAGGCAAGCTAGGTGCGCTCGCGTCATATCTGACGTCCTACCCCGTCCTCCCATCCCTTACATTGGCGTAGATCTCCTCTCTGTTCGCATAGTCGGATGTCGCAGCGTGGCGTATGATTAATTGGCATGGAATGGTGTTGAAGACCAACGCGTAGCATGACATAGCATGGCGTGGCGAACGAATCGACACCGAGTGTGTAATCACTTCCGATTTTTTCGGGGGGCATTTTCTATACTTTTGGGCCTATTCTGAATGTGCGAAAACCATGCCGTGGCATGGCACTTGAAATAATGACGCCAGCGCCGCAGCGGGAGCACGATTCGGAACGAGCGGAAGCCCGAAAATGAAGCGAGCGTTGCAGAGGGGGCAATTTCTTGCACCAAAAACTATCGACAACACATTTCCCGGGAATCTTGTGTGCAAAAAAATACGCGGAGGGGGGCTGGATGTCTTCCAGATGACACCAGGGGAGAGAGGAGAGTAGTATTCATATTGTCTCGTTGTGGAGGAGGGAGGGGGGGCGCGCGGTCAATGGCGGCCTGACCAACCTCCAGCAGGCGGGCCCCTTCTGTGACGACCCCCCCCCCGCCTGGCTTTCAAGGCGTGGGCAGGCTGCTGGAGGGGAGGGCGGACTCGCGTGCGAGGGGCCCAGCACTTGCGGGCGATCCTGGGGGGGGCGTTCGCCTACTTCCTCCTCAGAGGTGCACCCTCAAGATCGGCGGCGAGCGAGGGGGGGAAATGGGAAGGGAAAGGCCTTCTCAGAAGGCGGCAGGACCTCTCAGAAGGCCTCCGGCCTTCTGGTAGGTTTCTCCTGCCTTCGGGAAAGGCTTAGAGAATTTCTCGGAAGGCCGGGGGACTTCCGAGCGACCTGGGAAAGCCCGCCCCTTCTCGCTTCCCCCCGGGCTCGCCGCTGAGAGGTGGGGGCTGCGTGATACTCGATCCCTGGGCCCAAGAAGTATGACCTGTGTTGCATCGTCGAGGGGCCTTGCCTGTCCCGTCGCGCCCCTCTGCGTGTCGAATCCTTGTCGGACTCGTCAAATCCGCGTCGAATCCACGCCAAATGTGCATCGAGTCAGCAGCGAGCCTGCGTCGGGCACAAGGAACGACACGAATTCTGCACAGCGTAAGATGACAGCTTCCCCCCCCCTCCCTCGCTCGCCACCGACAAGAGGAGAGGAGCCGTGGAGGAGGCCTGCGCCCGCGGGAGCGGCCGAGGCCCTCCTCGGGCGGCCTCCTCGAGCGGTGTTCTGCCCGTGTGCCCCCGGGAGCTGCAGCAGCAGGTCCGGTCGGGGGTCAACGCAGACGGGGGTCAGCCAGGGCGCCGGAGGTTTGCAGGAGCCTGCAGGACCAGGAGCGCACTGGCCTGGGCTTGGGCGCAGGGTCCTGCAGGATCTTGCCAAGTCTGACCGACCCGGGTCTAGATTGACCCAGGTCAGTAGATCCCCGATCCAGGTGGAGCACACCCGTGAGGGGCAACGATAGGGGGGGATAGGCACAGGGGGGGCATGCTTCGACCCCAGTCGCCCGTTGATCGCCGATGCGGGCCCGATAGCCCCAGCCTGCCCAGGAACGTGCGGTTTCGCTATCGGGTGCCCGTCGCCGAACAATCGGCGATGAATCGCCGATTCCAGGTCGATGTGTCCACCCCCTGTGCCAATCACCCACTAACGTTGCCCCGTAGGAGTACACCCGCGTAATCGACGGCGGCGTGGTCATGTTCCGACGGAACTCGAAGATAAAATGCGTGATCGTCAGTGGTCGGAGTTCCGCGCGGATTTCTTGGATCGGCGTTTGGCCCCCCCTTGGGCGGCACCTCTGTGCGCCGCCCCGGGCGACAAATCGTGCCTATGCAGCATGCAGCTGTGTCTTCCTCGAGGAACGTCGACGGGCCGTCTCCGGCTGTCTTGTGACGGCATTGGGAGGTTTCTTGGAGGTGTCATCATTGAATTGAGTACGTGGGGCACTATGGAGCGATCGGTTGGGTTGTATGTCCCGCCGCGCCGCCCCCCCCTCCGCCCAGGTCCGGGGGAGGGGGTAGGGGGAGGGGTCAAGACATCCACCCGCCCGCAAGCCGTCTAGCTCACTCCCACCCGCCCTGCCAACACATAAGTAACACCCGAGCCTGAGCACTTTGTATGGACAGCTACTGGGAACCAAAGCCGACCCCAGGTGCGCGACCTGCGCCACGCGTGCCAGGCGCGCCAGGCGCGCCACGCGCGCCAGGCACCACTGGGGCCCGAGCGTGCCAGACACGCCTTGTGCACCAGATGCGCCACGTGCTCCGAGTGCGCCAGGTGTGCCGCACACTCCAGCCGCGCCAGGTGCGCCATGTTCGGGGCACGTGCAGAGTGAGTGCGTCAGGTGCACCTGCGCGCGTAATAGCACACATCGGGAAACATGTCGCCCCCCCCCATCCTTATCGAAAACCGATGCCCATCATTGTGTCTGCTTGGCCTGCGCACAGCAGGCCACGCGCCACCACCCCCTCACCCCTGTCAAAAGCCACTTGATAGTGATCGCGGGATGGCCGCGCATGATCCAGATATTGCCGCGAGGTGCATGTTGTATTGTTTTATGTCAGGAATGGTAGCCCTGCGCGCAGCAGGGAATATGCTGACGCCCCCGCCGTCCTCGTCAGAAACAAGACGAAGAGTTCGCGGACCTCACGAACATGACTCAAGACTTTGCCCCAAAGTGTACTTCGCATTGTTTCTTGACAGGATGGTGGGGGGTGGCCGCATCGGGTGGGCCGCGCATGCTCCAAATGTGGAGGCAGAGTGCGGTTTGTAGTGTTGTTTGACAGGGATGGTGGGGGGCTGATATTCAAGGTGTCGGCATGGTGCATGGGTGGCCCCCAGTCGCCAGGGGGAGGGGTGAATATTAGTAAGGAACAGTGATCCAGCTACCCACCCGCCCGCAAGCCGTCTAGCTCACTCCCACCCGCCCTGCCAACACATAACTAACACCCGAGCCTGAGCATGTTCAACGGTCGTCTTTGCATGGGCAGCTACTGGGAACCAAAGCCGACCCCAGGTGCGCGACCCTTGGGCGAGGTGCGCCACGCGTGCCAGGCGCGCCACACGCGCCAGGCACCCCTCTGGCCCGACGTACCAGGCCCGCCTGGTGCACCAGATGCGCCACGTGCTCCGAGTGCGCCAGGTGTGCCGCTCACTCCAGCCGCGCCAGGTGCGCCATGTTCGGGGCACGTGCAGAGTGCGTCAGGTGCACCTGCGCTCGTAACAGCACACATCGGGAAACATGTCGGCCCCCACCATCCTTATCGAAAACCGATGCCCATCATCGTGTATGGTGGGCCTGCGCACAGCAGACCATACACCACCACCCCCGCCGTCCCTGTCACAAACCACTTGGCAGTGAGCGCGGGGTGGCCGCGCATGATCCGGATATAGATACAGCCGCGAGGTCAATTTTGTATTGTTTGTTTTGTTCAGGGATGGTACGTAGCCCTGCGCACAGCAGGGAATATGTTGACACCTCCGCCTTCCTTGCCAATAATAATACGAAGTGCTCACGGGCCTTACGAACATGACTCAAGATTTTGCCCCGAAGTGTATTTTTCATTGTTGTTTGACAGGGATGGTGTGGGGGTCCGCATCGGGTTGGGTGCGCCTGCTCCGAATTTGGAGGCTGGAGGTGTTCCGTATTGTTTTCTGGCTTGACAAAAATGGTTGGGGGTGTCCTCATGGGTTCCTCATTGTTCTTCGTTGACTGCCGGTCGCCTGGGGGAAGGGGTGTGTATGAATATGGAACAGCGATCACGACACCCCTTAAATAGCAATCCGCCTAGCTCACTCCTACCCGCCCTCCCAACACATAAGCAACACCCGAGCCTGAGCATGATCAGCGGTCGTCGTCTCTGGACGGACAGCTACTGGGAACCAACACCGGGGTGAGGTGCGCCACGCGTGCCAGGCGCGCCACGCGCCAGGCACCCCTGGGGCCCGAGCGTGCCAGGCACGCCTGGTGCCTCAGATGCGCCACGTGCTCCGCGTGCGCCAGGCGTGCCGCATACTCCAGATGCGCCATGTTCGGGGCACGTGCAGAGTGTGTCAGGTCCGCCTGCGCACGTGACATCAGACATCGGGAAACATGTCGGCCCCACCATCCCATTGCCCCTCATTGTGTATGGTGGGCCTGCGCACAGCAGGCCATACGCCACCACCCCCGCCGTCCCTGTCAGAAACCACTTGGCAGTGAGCGCAGGGCGGCCGCGCATGATCCAGATATTGCCGCGAGGTGCATGTTGTATTGTTTTTTGGTCCGGGATGGTAGCCCTGTGCGCAGAGGGCAATATGCAGACACCGCTGTCGCCCCTGACCAAAACAAGACAAAGTGCTCTCGGGCCTCACGAACATGACTCAAGACTCCTGGTTGGCTGCCGGTCGCCTGGGGGATGGGTGTATATCAATAGGGAGCAGTGATCAAGACATTCTCCCCGCCCGCAAGTTGTCTCGCTCATTCCCTCCGTAATCATGTTGGATCAAGTTCCAACGTTGCCTCCGACGCTGGAGCTTGGAACGCAGCCGATGGTGCGGCTCAAGGCCCCCGTGCACTCAGTTCCCCGCGCTTCCCCACAGGTGCCTCCCGGGCAGGTGATAGCGCACGAAGCCCCGCTTCGCTCAGCGCATTTTTGTTTGGATGCTGATCCCCGGGATCAGCGACAGGGATGCCGCAGAAAGGAGCGCGCGCGCCTGCAGCCAAGCTGGGCAGGGCGTGGTCCTGTTCTTGCGGGACTAACGACAACTTCGGCTGGAGGACCCAGTGCCGGACGCGCGGCAAAGCGGCCCCGCGGCAGGGGCGGACATTTGCCGACGTCGCCGGGGCGCCCGGCAAGCGTGAGAAGCAGTTGTCCGCGCAGTTGGCGCAGTTGCAGGAGAAGTTCGACAAGCTGGTCAGTTCGCAGGCGCCAGCTGCGCCGGCCAAGGTCGAGGCCGACGTGGACATCCAGCAGCTGGTCAACGAGCACCAGGCGTTCCTCAAGAAGTACGGCGAGGACGACCCGGTTACAAGGCGGTCGGGGCCAAGCTCGGGCAGGCCAGGGCCGACCGCGACAAGGCGAAGTTGGATGATGCTGTGGTGCACCAGGCCGAGAGGCGCCAGGAGCAGCTGCGCAAGGCAAAGACAGCGGCGGAGGAACGGCTCAAGACGGCCCAGGAGCAGGTGGCAGCTGCTCAGGCCGACTTGGACACACAACAAGCAGACGGCCGAAGGAACCGCCAAACTCAAGGCCAACCAGCTGCTCGCCGCCGATTCTGGGTCCAATACCACCTGCGCCCTGTTGGCCTCCGCCGTCGCCATCGCAGCCAGCGAAGACCAGCCCGAAGTGTTCCAAGCCCTCGACGCGGCAGCCTTGGCGGCAACAGCCAAACCTGTGCCTCTTCGCCCTGGCGTGGTGCCTGGTCACGCTGTTGGTGCGCGGCCAGGGGCAGTAGGAGGCGCGGATCCAGCAGCAGCCCATGAGGCCGCCATGGAGGTGGACCCCGAGTCCGCAGGATTCACGCCGGAGGAGCAGGCTTGGATGGCCGACGGGGGACCAGTCGAAGACGCTAGAGAAGCCAAAATTAACCGCTGGCGTGATCTGCGCGCCTACGTCTCATGAAGCCACGGCGCGGTAGGCCCGAGCAGGAGGAGAGGAAGTGCCTCGACTTGTGGAGCTTCAACGGGCCCAGCTGGGGCACTCTCAAGGATCGCATCCTCGACGCCTCGGGGACGCGGCAGGTGCTCGCCGTGCAGGAGCACCACTTGGCCCAGAACAAGTTTGAGGGCGTGCGCCAGTCCATGCTGAGGCAGGGCTGGCAGCTGGAAGGGCAGCCTAGCGGCGGTGACTAGCACCGCGAGCGGCGGGACGGGCACTTCGGCCGGGGTCGCCATCGCGGTGCCCAAACACATAGGCGCCTCGCACTTGCAGGGCAGCAGGTCTTGGGACATCGCCCCCCAGGAGGCGATGGGCAGGGCGGCCATCATGTGGATCGCAGCAGCTTGCGCATCGATCCACTTCTGGACGGGTGAAGGCATGATCCTGGCAGGCGAGTTCCAGCAGGCGCCGAGTGTCTTGGGTTAGGAGGTGAGCGCGCAGATCGCCGAGGGCGTTCTCCCCGCGCCAACCTTGGAGCTGGACACTTGCATAGGCTCCCGGGGCAGCAGCACCATCGACTACTTCACTGCGTGCAAGCAGTTGGCGAGCAGGGCGTCAGGAGGAAAGCCCGTCGGCGCTGCATCAGCCAGCGGGGCTCCGTCTGAGCCTCCGCGCGGCGGCGCAGCGCGCGAGCGTCTCGGCGCGGCCCCGGGGGCTGGATGGCCAGCTGGCGGGGCGCCCCGCGGCCGCCAGAGCACGAGGCAGTGGGGCCCTTCACCGGCCAGGCCGCGGCCACCGCGGAGCGCGCCAGGGCGTCTAACTTCAGCCGCCGGGAAGGAGGCATTCGCCTTGATTGGCTTGGAATGGCATGCCGACGATCCGCGACGGGGGGGGGGGGGGCACGCCTCGTTGGCGCCCGCAGAAGGCGCAGCCCCGCAGGGGAGGGGCCGGGGCGCAGGCCGCGCGAGAGGGCCGCGCACGGGGCCACGGCTGGACCGCGCGCTGCGGCAGATCCTCCGCCAGCACGCGGCCAACGACGGAGCTGACGCCGCAGGGGGGCTCGCGGCTCAGCTTAGGACCGCCCTCGCGCTAGAGCGGCAGCTCGGGCGGGCGCAGAGCCAGGCGCGTCGCCCCGTTTACCTTCGGAGGATTCGGGCAGGCGGCAGGCCAGAGGTCTCCCGCTGGCAAGCGGCGCGGGGCGGCGCGCAGATCTTTCGCGCGCGAATGGCAGGCCGGGGCCAACGTAGAGGCGGACGTTATCGACCGCGCGGCGAAGCGCGAGTTGCGATCGTTTTCCAAACTTAATTGATCGCGTCTCGGGGTGGCGTGGTAGGGGTGGGCCGTGTAAGATAGCAGTGCAGGTCTTATTCCTCTTCCTGCCCTGCCTGTCTTTCGTGTCCGCTCAAGCTTTTTCTGGCTCGAGGTCTCTCGAGCCAGGAGCTCGCGCTCGCCTCTCGCCCCACCAACTGGGGCGCTCACGGCGCGGGCGCTGATCGTCAGCACCACGGCGGGGCGGTGTTGGTTCGCCAACGCTGCCTCGCTCTCGTACATCGGGGACTGGGAGGTCCTCGACGCCCCCTCTCGAGGCCGCTGGTGGAGCCCGAGGACGACGCGCCCCAGGGGGGCACGAGAGAGTCGGAGCGGCTGAGCTTCCACGACTATCGGCGGGTTCGCATGTGTAGCGCGATACGATGGAGCCGCTTCTATCGGACAATGGCCCCGCGACGGGGGCAAGTGCGGATGTACCCGAAGAAGAAGAACGACACGAGTGGGATCTACGTGAAGCTGGACCACGCCCTCTTGGTGGGCGGCATCAAGGATCGGGCGAAGCGGCCGAGTCGTCGGCGGCCGGGCTGAGACTACGTGTCCTTCCTTGCCCCCACGGCCGGCGAGCGGACGGGCGTCCTGGAGAAGGCCTGGGAGAGGCCATTCGAGGCCGAGCTGTATCTGTCCAACGCTCACGGCTATGGAGCCTCCTTGTCCTGGTTTCGCTCTGGGCTAGCTGGCGCGTGGAGCTCATGGAGCTGTGGGTCGACGGTGGGTTTCGCCATCTTCTCCGGGGGAGTGGCCGTCTGTGGCAACCTGTGGCGGCGGATGCGATGGGTGATGGAGGAGCTCGAGGATGGCCACCACTCGCTCCTCGTAGCCGACTACGTCCGAGGCGACTGGCGCGACCTCTACCTAGGCGGCAGGCTCGAGAGTTCCATCATGATCTTCACCGCGACTGTGGCCCTCGGGCCAAGTCTCTGGAGTTGCTGCCAGCAGATGTCATCGCCACGGCTAGCGGGGGAAACGCCTCCAGGGATCGACATGGACAGCGACGGGGAGGCGGGCCCCTCCAGGGCGGGTTCGTCGGACGAGTCGATGCCAGCCAAGGGCATGCAGGAGAGGCAAGCCACGGGGAGCAGCCTGTTCGACAAGATCGTCCATCCACGGTCGGGGTCGCGTCGTGCCCGCATGAGTCAGAGCACCTCGTCGGCAACGTCCCCTGGAGAGAGCAGTCCCGCCAGCGGGAAATGTTGATCCCGTGGCGCGGCCTAGCCCCGCCTGGACCGGCATGTAGGCGGGATGATCGACTGGTGGAAGCGTTTCGAGGACACGAGCAAGGCGGACAAGGCCTCGCAGGGATGCCAGCACGCACAGGCCGCGTCACCCACGGCGGCCACGTCGGGTGCTACGACGTGTCCTTCCATCGACCTGGGAACAGCGGAGACGCTGGTGGGCGCGGGGGGAAGCCCCGAGCCGTTGATGAAGGTATGTTGGGGCCCCAGGGAGCAGGCGTTGGTCGACCTCAGGAAGATCGATGCGCTGTCCACCGTCACCCGCCTTGCGGGCCCCACCTCCTCCGTGGCGCAAGAGCTGCGGGTCAAGACCTACGGGGCGAACGTCAGCTTGGGCAGGTTCGCGACGGACTGGGTTCGCCCCAGTTAGGCGGGTCGCGACTACTTCGGCCACCAGATGAGGCTGCACTGCATGAAGCTGGATCGGAGGTCGGAGGCCTCGCCCGAGATCACCCAGACGGCGAGGTACGAGAACCTGGGCGCCCGAGTCTACGCGCTGATGCGGGTGTTCGAGGACGTGGCAGGCATCATCGACGGGAAGCAGCCTCGGGACAGCGGGGCCGACAAGTGGACGTCCAGGGTGTTCGGGGACCCCACAGACGAGCTGGACTGGAGGTCTCTCACGGAGGGCGAGGAGGCGCTCACGATAGTGGGGCGCTACTCGACGGCCAGGCTGCAGCAGAGGGTTCTTCAACATACGTATCCGCAGATGGAGGGCTCGGACGCGGCAACGGAGGAGGACGAGAAGACGGGGGGATGGTCTCCCCCGTCCGTGGAGCCCTGCGGGGCCCCCCGCACTTGAGGGAGAGGCTGGCGGTTTACCGTTCCGTCCGCTCTGACGGCGGCCACTCTTGTGGGCTCACTCTCCCGATAGCTGTGGTGGTGCTCTTGCTGGTCGCGACGATATTTTCGCGTGACACCGCATCCCTCGGGAGGCGACGACATGCCCGTTTTTCTCCATCCACACGTTTCTCCATCGTCTACCTCGGCAGCAGCCGCGGGCGTTCCTCCCGAGGCCGTTCCTCGAGACCGAGACCCTCTGCCGGGCTGGCCGCTGCTGCCATGGTCGGTGGTGGCGGACCGCGCGGGGCCGATGCATCAAGGCGCGCTACGACGTGTGTGAGCTCGAGCCGACGGGCTGCTCCGATCCATGCCTCACCCACTTCGGGGCGGGGCCGGAGCGGCCGAGGGCGCTGGGCCGTCGGCCACGTGGGAGCGGGCGACACCGCTCCAGAGGGCTACTTCGAGGAGGCTCCTGGAGGCGTGGCTAGCTTGGGGCAGCCAGGTGGCCGCGATCGGACGAGGACGCTGCCCTTTGGCGCGTCACGGCCGATCGGGCCTCGCCGTGCTCAGGCGAAGGGGCTTTTGCTGCCCTGGGAAAGGATTCAAAGGGATGAGATATGCTACCGAAGGGCGTGGTGGTCTCCGTCGACGCGGGGGAGTCTGCTCGCCCGCCACCAGAGACCAACCCTGCCAGGACCGTGGACATCTGCCCGCTCGTCACCGAGGACCTCTCCGACGGTACGGGGAGGATGCCACGCAAGCCTTACCCCGCCATGGAAGAGGAGCTGAAGGGCCCAAGGGTCCACCGAGATTCGTCTTTCCGATCGAGGACATTTCTTCCCATCCTGGTCGAGAAGCCCTGGGAGGCAAGGATGCTGAGGACCACCGACGAGCTGGTCGAGGGCATGCCGCTCTTCGGGGTCATCCAGAAGTGCGAGCGGGAGGAGGCGGACCCCCTCGGCCCCGTCAGGTGCCAGGTCCGCGCCATCTGGGACTGGTGGCGGGCCAACCTCCCCTGGCAGACGCCCATGCACGGGCCCCTGGGCAGCTCCACGACCCTGACCAACCTGGACCTCTCCTATCTCGGCGAGGCGGACGTGGTCTACACAGGGGTGGGCGATACCCTCGACAGGTTCGACCGCTTCGAGACGCCGCCAGATGTCTGGCTCTACTTTGTCTTGGAGGGGCTGCCCCTCCACGGGTTCTTCGACTACATGAGGGCCACGGCAGGGCTACGTCATCCCCTATGGCGGGCCCCCCCTGGCGGTGAAGGTCTTGGTCAAGGGCCGACCGCGGCTCCTGCCTCTGGCCTACTCCAGGCCGAAGGCTCTCACGGCGCGCAGGCTCTGGGTGGATACCGGGGATGCGCGCCTGGTCTACGGGGCTCCGACGCACCAGTTGATCGGGCCCGTCGATTTCGAGTCAGGGAGCTGGGCGTACATGGACGACTACGCGGTCGTGGCCTCGTACGCCAGCGCGCGGCAGCCAGTGAGCGAGGTCATGAAGAGGCTGACGGCCCGAGTCAAGTACTACTTGGGGAAGGTCGGGCTCCCCGTCCACCAGGAGAGAGAGAAGGCGAGGGGATCGAGTCGTGGGGCGCGGTCCTTTGATGCCGACCTTACACTGTCTCGGCCAAAATCGATCGCACTTGTGGCCTGACTCTGGCGGCGCTGGGGCTGGCGGTGCGGACATGCTGGACCCCGGAGCCACCGTGAAGCTGTGGGCGTGGGCGGCCATCTCTCAGCGCATGGGCCTCGCCATCCGCGACAGTATCTACCGCGAGATGAGGCGCCCAGAGACCGCCAGGACGCCGTTCTGCCTACCAGACGCGGCGAGGTGGGGGCTGACGACGATGGCCTACTGCGCCACGTTCAGGCACACGGATCTCGAGGCGCCCTGGCTCTCGCAGGTGTCTATGACGGGCATGGCGGACTCCAAGGACAATGGCCACGGGGTTGCAGTCACCGAGGCCTTGCTGGAGGAGATCAGGACGGCCACGGGCTACACCGAGATGAGAGGGTGGACGATCGCCACCGACGTCTGGGCCCCCCACGTTGGGGGGTGTGCCTACGACGTGGACGAGCTCGCCGATGCGTCGGCTACACCTCCGCTGCGGGTCCGTCGGGGGGTCAACCAGGCGCTCTACCTCTTCGCGGGCAGGCGCCGAGAGGGGGATCTGGAGGTAGCCATCTACACGAATGCGGAGTGCGACGGCTACGACATCCAGATCTGGTCCATTGACTCGGTGATCGAGCCGAAGCACGACCGCCCCAACGACGAGCTGGTCAGCGCGATTCTGGGTCAGATGCGCGACGGGCACTTCCACGCAGTGATTGCCCTGCCGCCATGTTCCACCTGGAGTCGATCGTGCTTCCTGAAAGAGAGGCCCAGGCCCCCGCGGACGCGCCTCGAGCCTTGGGGGCGGAGCGACATACTATTCGCCACCTTCGAGCACCTCCGCCTGGACCCTGGGGCGCGCCTCCTGCTCACGGCCATGCAGGCGGTCCGCGGGGTCTGCCGAACTGGTGGCCTGTGCTTGACGGATCACCCCGCGGACCCAGAGGAGGACCTGTACACGTCTGTCGGGAACCCCCCCGAGAGGGCCTGCTTCGGCGAGGAGGCGGGCGGCCAGATCCATCAGATCGACCAGGGCTGCTACGGAGCTTCGCCGATGGAGTCGACCATGAAGGGCATCTTCGGGGTCTACGACGACGCACTGGACCTCGCCGTGGGTCGTCTCCGCCCGAGAGGCAACCACCGTGGGAGGCATCCAGCGATACCCGATGGGGCGAGTGGAGCGGGGCCGCCCCGACATCTGCACCGCCGCCGCCCAGGCTTTCCAGCCCCCGCGATGCGCCGCGCGAGGGAGGGCGATCCTCGAGGCGTTGGCCCGCATGACGAAGGAGATAAAGGGCCCCGATCCAGCGTGCTCGCGGGCCTCTCCAGCTACGACGACATTCGGGCCGCCGAGGCCGGGAGGGGCGGAGATCGAGGTCTTCCCCGCTGTCCCCTGCTTGGATGCCACCTGCGAGATGGCGGCCACTCTACGTCGGAAGGTGGAGGAGCACGGAACACACGAACACCAGCGAGATGCGGACCGTGGTGGGCGTGCTCCGACACCTTGCCAGATCGCCACGGAGGCGGATGCTGAAGGTCCTGAGCTTAACCAACGGCATGGTGGCCCAGGGAGCCCCAGGCGAGGGCCATTAGAGCTCATCAGCCCTGTTGCGCCTGGGCCACGGGCACTACCGCTACGTCCCGCTGGAGCTGAACGTCGCCGAAGGCCTCTCTCCAGGATATCCCCTGGGAACAGCGCCCGAGACGGTGGCAGCCCACTGCGACCGACACCCCGATCCGACGGACAGCCGACCTCACAGTCTACGCGACCTGGACCACACGGGTACGGGATACGATGGTGGCTAGCTGCCCTGGCATTGGAGGCAATCCACGCCGTCGGAGAGATTCGCCAGAAGCCGCACGCGGCAGGAGACGTTCCCTTGCAGAGGCGGGGGCCGCAGGCGCGGGACAACTACGAGAAGGAGACGTACCTGGGCATCCGCGAGGGCGGCTCCACAAGGCGATTCACCCGCCTCGTGCCGGACGTGATCACGGCACAGCGGGCCCCGAAGGTGCGGGATATTCTTAGCTGCCGCGCCGACAAGGGTTGGGAGCTTCGGTGCAAGAGCGCCATGGGCCACGCCCTGGCCGACTACAGGGACATGAAGTGCTACCGAGACCGACTCCACCCAACAAGGGGGTCGATCATCTTGTCCGGGCGACTGGGGAGTTGGCCTGAGCTGAGGAGCCAGCTCCCCTTGGCCTTGCGAAGCTTAAAGAGTTGTCAGAGGTCGGTCGCCCCCGTGGAGGGAGGCCCGTGGCCGGAGGAGGCCATCTTCGCCATCGCCGATTACGTTCTGGAGGGGGGGTTCCTGGACGAAGCCATCGGGGCCCTCATGCAGTACGACTCCTACGGGCAGGAGCGGGACGGCCTGGAGGCCGAGACCTCCCGAACTGGGGGGGGCCGCACCAACTACAGCAATCAGCAGAGGCAGCTGGTCGACAGCAACAAGACGAACTTGACGATGAAGAAGGTGAAAGAGGTCGCCACGGAGCTCGCGACAACTGGATGGTGGAGAAAGCACAGCGACATGCCAAGCGGGGGCGCCCGAGTGGGTGGCTAGGGGCGCCATGCGAGGGCCCCCTAGAGGTGGGTGGCCTACGGGCGCGACCACCACCCCGATGTGTTCTTGGCCGATCGCACGATGAGAACGTTGTGGCCCCCGCCCGCCCACCCTGGACTACAACCTGAAGTATTTCGGCTGCGCCAGGCACATCAGATGCGGGAGTGGGAATGAGAATATTCTGAAGCCGATCGCAACTCGAGTCCTTGATGATTGTTGTGATTTGGTTAAGGTTATACACATCTCAATCGGCCTCCCGATGAATTACATTATATCGTTGGCCCGTCGGGGCCCTCGTGCAGCGTGTGGTTGAAAACGTACTTCCTATAGGCCGCTTTGCGGCGTTGCTGCACGTCCCGCTGACTGAGACCGAGTTGTCATAGTCAGCTTTGCTGGCCCCCCGCCTGCCCCCTGAGACGTTGCGATAATGATCGTTTTCCAAACTTAGTTGATCGCGTCTCGGGGTGGCGTGGTAGGGGTGGGCCGTGTAAGATAGCAGTGCAGGTATTATTCCTCTTCCTGCCCTGCCTGTCTTTCGCGTCCGCTCAAGCTTTCCCCCCCTTTGAACGTTTTACCCAGCCCTGCTCTTACGACACGTGGGAATGAGAATATTCTGAAGCCGATCGCAACTCGAGTCTTTGATTGTTGTGATTTGGTTGAGGTTATACACATCTCAATCGGCCCCCCGATGAATTACATTATATCGTTGGCCCGTCGGGGCCCTCGTGCAGCGTGTGGTTGAAAACGTACTTCCTATAGGCCGCTTCGCGGCGTTGCTGCACGTCCCGCTGACTGAGACCGAGTTGTCATAGTCAGCTTTGCTGGCCCCCCGCCTGCCCCCTGAGACGTTGCGATAAGACGAGAAATTGCGGCCCACGTTGGAGAGGCAGCGCAGGGGTCAGCAGGCAGGCTGCACCGCTTGAGCATGCCAGCTGACACGTGACACCCAAGATGGGCGGCTACCCCAAGCAAGGCGGCAGGCCAGCTTGCCGCTGCAGCGCGCTCGCGCGAGGAGCGGAGCCAGGCGCGAAAGGTCGCCAGCGCCAAGCAGCAGCTGCCACGCCCTCGGCTCAGTGGCGAGCGCCCGCCCATGCCGCCCATGGAGCTCAGCTGCCCCAGGGAGGCAACCCGGGGCTTCAGGCCCACCGCGGACATCGGGGTGGACTGGTGGCACCCCAGCATGCCGAGAGGAGTGCCAGGCGACGGCCTGCAGCAGATTCTCGACATCTTGCACGCGGTGGAAAGAAAGCTGATCTGGCTGGAGCTGGCCTCGACCATCCTCCATTTCCTTGCGCCCAAGGTCTTCAACCGGGACACCTCTTTAGGCCCCCCCGGCGCCCATGCGCGCATGGGGCAAGATGCGAGACCCCATTCTCAGGACATGCGCCGCGGAGCACAGCAGGGCCTGGGACTGCACCTCCGGCGGGCGGGCCGCCGAGGACGCGGCCTTGGCGGCGCTGCTGGCGCGCGAGGGCGACGACGACCACGGCGTCGACCTGAGACCCTGGCAAGCGCGACCACCATCCTGAATTTGGCGAAGGTCTCCGAGAGCGTAAGTTTCCACATGCTGTGGAAGCAGGGCGCCATGCACTCCCACTGGAAAGATTAGCCGCGGCGACGTCGCATTCCTCCGTTGCAAGGCGGCTGCAGGCGCAGGGGCGCCTCAGCCAGGCCGCCTGCACCGCGGCGGCGACCATTGCGGGCAGCATGTTCTCGGCGGCGTTGCCCAGGGTCATTATGGCCAGCACTATCGGCGGCCACGCGCTGCAATGCCCGCAGCCCAAGTGGCGGGCTTACGTGGGCGACCTCAGCATCGGGCAGACAGGCGAGCAGCAGCAGCTGGCTAAGATGACGCCTGCGGCGCTGGACAAGCGCCGAGGACTTCGGCCAGATAGAGCTCACCTTCTCCTTCGGAGCCAGGGGCAAGGCGGCGCAGCTCGGCAGCGCAGCCTGGCCGAGGAAGGCATTGAAAATGCGCCCTCGGCAAGCGAGGCGCGCCGGCGGCGCAGGCGGCGCCGCGCTTGGGCGCGGGCCCAGTGACGCGCGGCTCCAGCGCCAAGGTGATGCTGGGCAAGAGGTCGAGAGGAGTCGAGTGGCGCGCTGGCCGATTCGGTATCCTCCGCGGCCAAGGCCGCCGCAAGGCGCCGGGCGTTGCGTCGGTATACAAGAAGGGTCTGAAGCGTTCCATGCCGCGCGGCGCCAGGTGCCTGGGGCTGCCGGAGAGGCGCCTCCAAGTCCTCGGGCGAGCAGCAGGGCGCGCTCTGCCGGGGCACGGTGGCGCCCAGCCCCTCGCGCTGCCACTGGCGCTCGCTGGGGGGGACCCCGCGGCGGAGCCAAATGGGCGACGCAACCGGCGTGCAGAGGGCGCGTCGCCGGCGGCAGGCCCGGGTGGGCAGGCGCCCTGGCCGGGCGCGGGGCGGGGCCCGGCAGGGGCCGCCATCGTGTCCCTCGGGCGCGGCAATTGGATTCGGCCAGCCTGGAACACCTTCGTCTCGGCCAGTGGCCTCGCCACGGACCTCAGCCGCGGCGCCGCTGGGCGCAGGAGCCGCAGCGCGGACAGCTGGCGCCCGCACCTCACCTGGTCATTATACAGACGCAGTTCCACACCAATGGCGGCGACGCGCATGCGAGGAACGCGGCGCGGCGCAACGCGGTGTCAGGCCCCTGGACACAGGCCCTGCCGTTCGAGGTCGGCCTCGTTGACTCGCCGTTGTGCAGGGCGTGCGGCGCAGCGCCTGGCGCGCTGCGTTATCGATATTTCTGCCGCAAAGCTCGTCGGGGGGCGCGGCAGAAGGCGCCTGCTGAGCGGCAGCGCGCGGCTGCGACGCAGCCCGGTTCGTTGCCGTGGACTGCAGACCTGGCGCGGCCACTGGAGGCCGACTGGCGCTTCGAGAGCACCAATGAAGACCAGCACTACGCGCGGCGGCAGCAGAGTGCAAATGGCGAGGGGGACGTGCCAAATTCTCTTGTCCCGCGGGCGGCGGGCTCGTCGTCGCCGTCTGGCTTCGAGCGCCCTGGAGATGGCCGCCAAGGTGCGCCGTCGCCTCCACGATCTGGCCAGGATTCGGCCCGCCTGGAGGACGGCCTCGTAGGTCCATCGTCGTCGGGGGGCCAGGGCCAGCAGCGAGCTCCCGATACGAGCATGGGCGATGACGAGTGGGGCCCACTGCAGGAAATGGAAGAGGACATGGAGAATGCGCGCGACCGCGACGACCCCTACTGGGAGGTGGAGCGACCTGCCGTACTTATGGACACGGTGGCCCTGGCGAAGACCGAGTCGCAGCCGCGGGTTTTCGACAGCACGGGACTTCCGGGCATGCTGCGCCGGGCCATTTTGTCAACAGTTCGAAGTTGGGCGAAATCAATTGGGCGCAGACAGGTTGGGCCATCTTCGCGATCGACAAGAAGGGCGCGACTTGGGCCAAGTTGCGGGGGGCGCTGCCGCGGGGGCTGTGCCAGTCCAACGGTCCATCGAGAGGGCGGAACTATGGGCCTTTTTCCCGGAAAGGGCGTGGGCCCAGGGTTCTCTTTTAGTTGGTAAACCTAATCCCCCGGTGCCTGCTTGAGGGAGGCCGGCGAATTTTTTCCCTGATAAATAACGAGGTCGAAGGAGGCCGGCGAATTAAAATTTGAGGATGTCTCGAGCGAAACGCTTGTTTTTGAAATCCCGATCGATAAATCACAGGGTGCGGGCCACTTTTTCGTGTGTTGAGGATGTCTCGAGCGAAACGCTTGCTCCGCAGAGTTTGCCGAGGATGTCTCGAGCGAAACGCTTGTTTTGCAGAGCCGACCGCGACGCGGAAAAGCGCCCCGCGCGAAGGAATTTCGATGATGTCTCGACTAATTCCTTTGTTTTTGTACGATTTCCTGGAATTTTGGCAGGATGTCTCGAGCGAAATGCACGACCCCACCCTAGCACGACCATACCCCAGCACGACCACACCCCAGCACGACCAGACCCCAGCACGACCCCACCCCAGCACGACCCCACCCCAGCACGACCATACCCCAGCACGACCACACCCCAGCACGACCCGACCCCAGCACGACCCTACCCCAGCAAGACCACACCCCAGCACGACCACACCCCAGCACGACCTCACCACAGCACGACCACACCCCAGCACGACCACGCCCCAGCACGACCACGCCCCAGCACGACCACGCCCCAGCACGACCACCACCAGCACGACCACACCCCAGCACGACCACGCCCCAGCACGACCACCCCCAGCACGACCAGCACGACCACACCCCAGCACGACCACACCCCAGCACGACCACACCCCAGCATCGATAAATCACAGGGTGCGGAGCACCCCAGCACGAACCCACCCCAGCACGACCCCACCCCAGCACGACCCCACCCCAGCACGACCACGCCCCAGCATGACCACACCCCAGCACGACCACACCCCAGCACGACCACTCCCCAGCACGACCCCACCCCAGCACGACCCCACCCTAGCACGACCACACCCCAGCACGACCACACCCCAGCACGACCCCACCCCAGCACGATCACACCCCAGCACGACCCCACCCCAGCAAGACCACACCCCAGCACGACCGCACCCCAGCACGACCTTACCACAGCACGACCACACCCCAGCACGACCACGCCCCAGCACGACCACGCCCCAGCACGACCACGCCCCAGCACGACCACGCCCCAGCACGACCACGCCCCAGCACGACCACGCCCCAGCAGCACGACCACCCCCCCAGCACGACCACCCCCAGCACCACCCCCCAGCACGACCACACCCCAGCACGACCACTCCCCAGCACGACCACACCGCCTTGGTTGAGTGGTTGCCTGTCGTCGTGGAATGTTTCGTGGGGTGTCTCGTGGAATGTTTCGCGGGGTGTCTCGTGAAATGTTTCGTGAGGTGTCTCGTGGAATGTTTCGTGAGGTGTCTCGTGGGCTGTTTCGTGAGGTGTCTCGTGGGATGTTTCGTGAGGTGTTGCCCAGTTGGGTATCATGAAAACGTGTACATGCTCCACATGTCTATATCCCTTTCCGGGTTCGTGGGTCCATCATGTTTTTATCAGGCGCTGCGCCACGTGGCACCGCTCTGCATCATCCACGCGGACCACGAGGACATCGTGGACGGCATCGGCAGTGGCCAGGCCTGGCGCGTCTCGGCCCAGAGCCGCACGCCGACATGGCGCTGCATCTGGGCCAAGCTGGGGGGCCAGGGCCTCGACGACACCAGCGCGCGCCACGCGGAGGCCCACGCGGCGCCGCGAGTTTGGTGGGCCCTTGACGAGGAAGACCGACGGGTGGCGAAGGGCAACGAGGAAGCGCATTCGTTGACCAAGGATGGCGCAGCAATTGGCGCAGGTTTCGGCAAGGGGAAGGCCCTCGAGAACCCGCGCCGCGAGATCCGCTGGGCGCCGCGCAACCTCGGGCGGTGGCGCATCGCCGTGGAGGATTGGGCCGACGCGGGCCCGAAGCCGGGGCGCCCTCGCCCACCTGAGGCATGCCAGCCAGTCTTGTACGCGTCGAATCACACGCTGGTGGAGACCGGCCAGTGGTTTCGCTGCGCCACCTGCGGCAGGTCGGCCCAGGCCCTAGGCCCGCGTCGTCGTCTATGGCATTCCCAGTGCCAGCCCCGCCCGTGGGGGCCCGTTCGCGGGCGGGACTGCGGCGCTGCCAAAGCGCATGGCAGTTCATCCGCGGGCAGCGATGGCCATGGCAGCAGCGACGGCGGTGATGGGGGCCAGCGCCATGGGCCAGGCCAGCAGCGGGCAGGAGGCACTGACCATTGAGAGGAAGCACGAGGTGGAGCAGCACCGCGGATACTGCGTGTGCGTGGTGTGTGGAGGCTACTCCAAGGTGTGCATGCGGCTCCTGGCTGGGGGGGTGCAACGGCCCGCTGGAGCCCCCCAGCAAGAGCGAGAGGGATGACGCGCGTCGCTGGCGACGGGATCGCTTGCGTGGATGCTTGCACCCGAAAACGGGCAAGGCCCTTGAGCGCTGGGCCTCTCCCGCCTGCGAGGGCGGAGTGGCGGAGGGCTACTAGTCTGGTCCGCGCGCCTCTCCAGGGCGCGCGCGTGCCGTGGGGTTGCGCGAGCGTGGATTGGCCTCTCAGTCCGGTCGGCCAGTCTAGCGAGTTCCAAAAATATATCTCGCTCACTCCCACCTGCCCTACGAACACATAAGTAGGACCAGGGCCTCAGCATGTTCAGCGTTCGTCTATGGTTGGGCAGCTACTGGGAACCAGTGCAGACCCCAAGTGCGTGATGGGGCGAGGTGCGCCACGCGCGCCAGGCGCTCCAGGTGCGCCAGGCACCCCTGGGGCCCAAGCGTGCCAAGCACGTCTCGCGCTCCAAATGCGCCACGTTCGCCATGTGTGCCGCATGAACCTGCCGCGCCAGATGCGCCACGTCCGGGGCATGCGCAAAATGCCAGGTGCGCCCGCGCACGTGACAGCACACATCGGGAAACATGCCGGTCCCCACCATCCTTATCGAAAGTCAGTGCACAATCGCGGCAGGGAGGCAAGCCATCATGTTGTCAGGTGGGCTTGCGCACAGTAGGCAATGCGTCAGCACCTCCGTGGTCCGAGTCAAACACGAATGGACAGTGATCGCGGGGTGGCCGCGCACGATCCAGATTTAGCCGCAAAGTGCATGTTGGATTGTTTTTTGGGACATGGGTGGTGGCCTTGCGCGAAACAGGCAATATGAGGGCGCCCCCACTGCCCTGGTCAAAAGAACATTGTGGATGCGAGGCCCACGAGCATGACCCAAAATGTTGTTTCAAAGTGTGTTTTGTACAGTTATTTGACAGGGGTGGGGAGGCAGTGGCAGTGGTCCTGGTTGGCTGCCAGTCGCCTGGGGGAGGAAGTGTTAATCCATAGAAAACGGAGTAACCCCTAATTTCTCCAACGGGAAGAGTCATTCACGCCTTAAGAGCTGGTGGGATTGAACTAGATACCATAGGGGGGGATTGAGCGATCTTTCGGGTTGTTTGTAGCATTCTTGGAAACATTTGGAAGAACAGTTTCCTTGACACCTCACGCGGGCGAGTGTGGAACATCTACTGAAAATGAAGACATTGTTCTGGAAGGCCTGGTCCGCCAAAGCAAAAACACCCATAGGCTTGGCGGAACTTGTTACCAAGGCGCGATCATGATCAAACCATCGACCTACCAATCCACAGCTGTTTGGCTTCTGAGGTGTTTCTCTCGTTGCCCGAGCTGCGCGGCGCGGGGCCGTTTTCGGAGCGCGCGGACAGGAGGGCCGAACATGCCTTCCAGATCCCAGTCCGTGCTCTTCCCTCTGGGACTCGTGGCGGCGTGCCTGTACGCGGGCCGGGTCTTCGTGGCCCCGCGCGCTCCCAGCTTGCGCCCTCAGGCCGGCAAGGCGCTCGTGGCGTTGCAGGGCGCCGCCAACAGCGTGCCGACTGGCCTCGTGTACCCCTCCCCCGAGGAGGCGGCCAAGACCCGCGAGGTGGACGGCATCACGCTGTATTCCACCCACGCTTGGACCGACGACATGGTGCCCATCCTCGAGGCCGAGAGCAAGCCCGAGCAGGCGCCGGTGATGATCGGCGTGGCCGCCGACTCCGGCTGCGGCAAGTCCACTTTCCTCAGGCGCGTGCTGGGCGCTTTGGGCACCGAGGTCAAACCCGGGCACACGGCCATCGGCGACATGTTGACGGTCATTTGCCTGGACGACTACCACATCAACGACCGCGCCGGCCGCAAGGCGACCTCTTTGAGCGCGCTGGACGCCCGCGAGAACGACTTCGCGCTGATGGGAGCGCAGATCGAGGCCCTGAAGCAGGGCAAGGCCATCTACAAGCCGATCTACAACCACGACACCGGCAACAAGGACCCCCCCGAGCTGATCCAGCCGAACAAGGTCTTCGTCGTGGAGGGCCTCCACCCGATCTACGACGAGAAGGCGCGTGCCAACCTCGACATGGCACTCTACATCGACATCGTCAACGACGTCAAGTTCGCCTGGAAGATCCAGCGCGACGTGGCCGAGCGCGGCTGGACCGAGGACCAGGTCAGGGAGGATATCGAGAAGAGGCTGCCCGACTTCGCGGAGTACGTGGACCCGCAGAAGAAGGATGCCGACGTCGTCCTGCGCTACGAGCCCTCCGACCAGGGCCTGCCTTACCTCAAGGTCAAGCTCATCCAGAAGAAGGGCGGCGCTTTCCCAGCGATCTCCCTGAAGAAGGAAATGACCCTCACTGGGAGCAAGCCGGGCGCCACCCTGAAGCAGTACGACGACGACTGGTACGGCAGCCCAGTGAGCGTAGTCGAGATGGACGGAGAGATCGACATGGACAACATGGCCGAGCAGGTGGCCGAGATCGAGGCCAACCTCGAGGGCCTGAACGGCCGCAGTCCCAGCGAGCTCACGGACGCCATGGTCAAGCTCAAGGACAGCCCCGGCTCTCAGAACGGCACCGGGCTCCTTCAGGCGATCATCGCCATGAAGATCCGCGAGGTCTACGACAAGCTCACCCAGTAAAACCAGTCGTGAGTCTAACACGGCATTGCAATGTCAATCATCTTGATCCTCAGTTTTCGTTGCGCGGCCATCGCGCCGACATCCAGGCCCGCCATCCGGTGATAGCGCTTGCATTTATTACACATCCAGGTGCACAGCCAAAGCGCAAGGGAAAGCATCATTGCTGTAACTGCCGCTGTTCGCTGCCGCCGACGTCGTTGACATAACCTCATGGAGCCATTAAGGAACCCCCCAGGGTTATCATTAGCACAGCACCGTAATAAAATAATTATGGGGGCGGTTTTCGCCGAAAGGTATGATTAGAACCGCGCAAATGGAACGAAAATGAATAATGCCCGCGCCCCAGCTTGGGTGGTATCCCAATTGGAATTGGAATAATGATAAGAATAAGAGTGGCATACCTGTAATAAGAATAATAAACAATTATAAGAGTATCAATGAGAGTAACAAGAAGACAAGTCAGAATCCGAATATTAACTGTAACAATAATAAGGATATGAATAATAATGATAGTAATAATCATAATCATAATAATATCAATAATGGGAATAATAATAACACTCATAATAATCATAATAAGAATTCGAATGCGAATCATAATAACAATAAATTAATCATTAGAAAAAGATGAGAGCTGATCCTCTTCGTCATCCTTGTCCTATACCGATTTGAATTACCATCCCTGTTGACAAATTGGTTTTCCCGGCCGTCGTGTGGGGTAGTGTATCCGAGGATATCGCCCCCGCCACGCACGGCGCGTTATCTTAGCACCGCACCCGCACAAACTAATTACGACAGCTTACCCAAAAAGACAAGATACACAATAAGACCAATAATACGAATGCAAGTAAGAAGATTCATACGAATACGAATAATACTAAGGATAATGATAATAATAGTAAGAATCCGAAAACAAACGGGCTCCCATGCTTTTTTCCTCCCACTCTCTTTTTTCCCGGAAAGGGCATCGGCCCAGGGTTCTCTTTTAGTAGGTAAACCTGTCCCCCGGTGCCAACTTGAGGGAGGCCGGCGAATTTTTTCCCTGATAAATAACGAGGTCGAAGGAGGCCGGCGAATTAAAATTTGAGGATGTCTCGAGCGAAACGCTTGTTTTTGAAATCCCGATCGATAAATCACAGGGTGCGGGCCACTTTTTCGTGTGTTGAGGATGTCTCGAGCGAAACGCTTGCTCCGCAGAGTTTGCCGAGGATGTCTCGAGCGAAACGCTTGTTTTGCAGAGCCGACCGCGACGCGGAAAAGCGCCCCGCGCGAAGGAATTTCGATGATGTCTCGACTAATTCCTTTGTTTTTGTACGATTTCCTGGAATTTTGGCAGGATGTCTCGAGCGAAATGCACGACCCCACCCTAGCACGACCATACCCCAGCACGACCACACCCCAGCACGACCAGACCCCAGCACGACCCCACCCCAGCACGACCCCACCCCAGCACGACCATACCCCAGCACGACCACACCCCAGCACGACCCGACCCCAGCACGACCCTACCCCAGCAAGACCACACCCCAGCACGACCACACCCCAGCACGACCTCACCACAGCACGACCACACCCCAGCACGACCACGCCCCAGCACGACCACGCCCCAGCACGACCACGCCCCAGCACGACCACCCCCAGCACGACCACCCCCCCAGCACGACCACCCCCAGCACGACCACCCCCCAGCACGACCACACCCCAGCACGACCACCCCCAGCACGACCACGCACGACCACACCCCAGCACGACCACACCCCAGCACGACCACACCCCAGCACGACCACACCCGCACCCACACCCCAGCACGACCACACCCCAGCACGACTACATACACCCCAGCACGACCTAGCAAGACCACACCCCAGCACGACCACACCCCAGCACGACCTCACCACAGCACGACCACACCCCAGCACGACCACGCCCCAGCACGACCACGCCCCAGCACGACCACGCCCCAGCACAACCACCCCCCAGCACGACCACCCCCCCAGCACGACCACACCCCAGCACGACCACCCCCCAGCACGACCACACCCCAGCACGACCACTCCCCAGCACGACCACACCGCCTTGGTTGAGTGGTTGCCTGTCGTCGTGGAATGTTTCGTGGGGTGTCTCGTGGAATGTTTCGCGGGGTGTCTCCTGGAATGTTTCGTGAGGTGTCTCGCGGAATGTTTCGTGAGGTGTCTCGTGGGATGTTTCGTGAGGTGTCTCGTGGGATGTTTCGTGAGGTGTTGCCCCGTTGGGTATCGTGAAAACGTGCCCATGCTCCACATGTCTATATCCCTTTCCGGGTTCGTGGGTCCATCATGTTCTCAGTTTCTTCATCATCCTTGTCCTATACGATTATCATTACCACCCCTATTGAAACATTGTTTTTTTCCTGGCCGTCGTGTGGGATGTAGTGCATCCGAGGATATCGCCCCCGCCACGCACAGCGCGTTATCTTAGCACCCACACCGCCAAAAGTATTCGCCCCCCCATCGTAGGCACGGACGGTTCCTTTTCAAAGTTGGGCTCTCCCTTTGCGTGGGACTTAATGTTGTTATGGTTGGTGTTGGCGGTGTTGTTGGTGTTTTTGATGTTGATGTTGTTGTTGGTGTTGTTGTTTCAGGCGCTTGTTTCAGAACCATCAGGAGACCATATTGCAAGAATGCCTCAGGCGGTTTGCTTGTTTCGACGAGCACATTCGTCTGCGTTCACATAAAGGTGCGAGGTGCCAGGGTAACGCTTCTGGGGTGCCGGGTGCGTTATACTTTCGCCGGAGAGGGGGGGTCTGAATTGCCGGATGCGGTTAGTTTGTGAATTGGACACTCACGAGGCTTTCGATGTTCCGCCGGCCCCCGAAAGGTGGACATGGAGAGTGTAGTCTGGGTTGCACGGGTTGCCTCAGCACGGCAGAGCACAGGAGGACGGTGAAGATGGATGTGATGCCCAGGAGGGGCAGGGAGGCAAGGGGGGGGGGGAGTGGTCTGGGAGGTCCTTGACCATTTCCCAGTCGTCGGGACCGTTCGGGGGCACTTGTTTCTGAGATGTTGGGGTGTACACGATCCTGCTTGAGGACTCCAAGAAGCAGGGGGATGATGTGGAGGCGAATGATGATGAGGAGGAGAAGGAGGAGGAGGAGGAGGAGGGCCGCCGTGGTAGGAGCGATGAAGGTGAGGGGGGGCAGCGAGAGCATGAGTTTCGAAGAAACACGAGTGTATTCCAATTCGGTATTGCCAGAGGCTGGGGTGGGCAACTGGTTTAGCATACAGATCGGGCACGCAAATCTCCCAAACAGTGATTGCTTTGGGGGTGGGGGGAGGGGGCCTGGACACGTATGTGACCGAACATTTGGGCATGTCTCGCTGTGGCCCTCTCGGAGTCTGTAATTCGGGTGTTTAGGGGGGGGGCTTCTGGGGCTCTCTTGGGACCGCTTGGGGCCATCTCGGCGTCCTCTCGGGGAGTCCTGGGGTCATTCGGGATGATCTGGGGGGCGCCTTGGGGAGCCTTGGGGCCGTTTCGAGTCAATCTTGGGCCGACTTGGGGGCCAGCCGAGAGCCTCCGGGGCCTATCATGGGGGCATGTGGGCTTGGGGGGTCTTCTGGAGGGTTCCCAGACCCTCTCGAAAGCGCCTGGGCGCGGACTCCCGCTTGGGACCTCTTTCGGCACCCTTGGAGTAGATTAGGGCCTCTTGGCCCATTGCTGAAGCCTCTTGGGCGTATTGGAGCCCTTCTGGAGCCGGTTATGTGGACATCTCGGGCGTCACCCTCCAGAGTCGTTTCGGCTCCAGCTAGTTCTCTCGTTGCCCGAGCTGCGCGGCGCGGGGCCGTTTTCGGAGCGCGCGGACAGGAGGGCCGAACATGCCTTCCAGATCCCAGTCCGTGCTCCTCCCTCTGGGACTCGTGGCGGCGTGCCTGTACGCGGGCCGGGTCTTCGTGGCCCCGCGCGCGCCCAGCCTGCGGCCTCAGGCCGGCAAGGCGCTCGTGGCGCTGCAGGGCGCCGCCAACAGCGTGCCGACCGGCCTCGTGTACCCCTCCCCCGAGGAGGCGGCCAAGACCCGCGAGGTGGACGGCATCACGCTGTATTCCACCCACGCCTGGACCGACGACATGGTGCCCATCCTCGAGGCCGAGAGCAAGCCCGAGCAGGCGCCGGTGATGATCGGCGTGGCCGCCGACTCCGGCTGCGGCAAGTCCACTTTCCTCAGGCGCGTGCTGGGCGCTTTGGGCACCGAGGTCAAGCCCGGGCACACGGCCATCGGCGACATGCTGACGGTCATCTGCCTGGACGACTACCACATCAACGACCGCGCCGGCCGCAAGGCGACCTCTCTGAGCGCGCTGGACGCCCGCGAGAACGACTTCGCGCTGATGGGAGCGCAGATCGAGGCCCTGAAGCAGGGCAAGGCCATCTACAAGCCGATCTACAACCACGACACCGGCAACAAGGACCCCCCCGAGCTGATCCAGCCGAACAAGGTCTTCGTCGTGGAGGGCCTCCACCCGATCTACGACGAGAAGGCGCGTGCCAACCTCGACATGGCACTCTACATCGACATCGTCAACGACGTCAAGTTCGCCTGGAAGATCCAGCGCGACGTGGCCGAGCGCGGCTGGACCGAGGACCAGGTCAGGGAGGATATCGAGAAGAGGCTGCCCGACTTCGCGGAGTACGTGGACCCGCAGAAGAAGGATGCCGACGTCGTCCTGCGCTACGAGCCCTCCGACCAGGGCCTGCCTTACCTCAAGGTCAAGCTCATCCAGAAGAAGGGCGGCGCTTTCCCAGCGATCTCCCTGAAGAAGGAAATGACCCTCACTGGGAGCAAGCCGGGCGCCACCCTGAAGCAGTACGACGACGACTGGTACGGCAGCCCAGTGAGCGTAGTCGAGATGGACGGAGAGATCGACATGGACAACATGGCCGAGCAGGTGGCCGAGATCGAGGCCAACCTCGAGGGCCTGAACGGCCGCAGTGCCAGCGAGCTCACGGACGCCATGGTCAAGCTCAAG